GTGGGTNCCCTCCCCTGCTGGCGCCCCTGCCTGAAACATGATTTTATCCATCCAGTTTTCTTTCCTCTGTTCTTAGCCATGGCTAAATACCTCTCCCTCACTGGTAGAGAAGACGTATGTGTAAGGTGGCGTCTGCGTTGGTGATGGGATGAATGGCTCTTTGAAGGGATCTGGATCTTGGGGAGCTGTTTGTTTCAACCGTTCAAAAGAGCTGTTTGATTTTGAACGAGTTACATCATCACGTAGGGAAATACATCATCACGTATGGCGACGTGATGATATCATCACTTTATGTGGGTGGAACCATGTGTTTTGTCAAGCAGAAACCCTCCTCCCCCTTTTCCGTGAGCTTCTGTACTCCACCGCTCTGCCTGTTTTACCTGAAAAAAAGCGGGAGCAATTTAAGGATGAAAAAATAAGCTTATATGAGGAATAAAATATACAAAACTACAAATGGCTCGTTACTGCCCGCGACTTGGCTCCTATCGTTCCTTGTAAAGAGCCGTTCAAAAGATTCAGTTCATTCGTAAACGTCACATCACCAGTCTGGATCATTACAACCAGTTCAGTGCCACTGAGACGCTTGTATATATTTTATAATGTTCAAAAATGAACCTAGCTCAGAGTGCTTAAAAAATAAATCAAAAAWTCATTAATTCTCCTTGGTGGGCTGGATGGAGGTCACCTGCGGGCTAGATGTAGCCTGCTGGCCGCCAGTTTCCCATCCCTGACTATTTTCTGCAAGTTTCATAAAAATTTGCCCACTGTTTTATAGGACGTTTAGGCAACAGACACAGACAAAAACATTATCTCTTCCTTTTCATTGTTGATAGAGCACTGTGGTGCAATAAACTGACTTRTCACGTTTCCTATTTAAACATGTCATACACCACAATCCTGTCATATCAGAAGTTTTTGTGTCATTTCCTTTGTTTATTAGCCCTCAGTTTGAGTCACACACACACCACCGGCCTCCTGCGAAACATTAATCTTTTTTATACGATTGTGGAGGGACGTGTGGTTGGTGTGGTGATGAGGAGGAAGAGGTAAAAAGCTGTAATATRTTAGGTTTGTTGTTGCTCATGTGGTAGTTTCTGAACAGTATTGGGTTTCCTCTGGAGGCAGGTGGGGGTGGGG